GGATACTGCTGCGTCTGCGCGAACGGATACTATGGCAATGGAAAGTCCTGCCTGGCCAATGAGCAACCGATCCGAGTGACAGGAACTTTTACCGGAGAGCTGAACAAGCAGCCCGTCAGCGAGGATGCCAAACTGCAGTCGTATGTGGTGACCAGCGAAGGCCGCACCTATACCACCATCAATCCCCTGACCCCCGAACTGGGCGCCAAGCTCCGGCTGGTCCTCCCGCTGCTGACCACCGTGCCCTGGCTGTTCGCCAAGTCTGTGGGTGGTGTGGCCAATGGATACCAACTGACCGGCGGTGTCTACACCCATGTATCTCGTTTGCAATTCAATTCCGGAGAAAGTCTCCATGTGAATCAGACCTTCGAGGGCCTCAACTACTGGGACCAGCTATCCGTGAAGATCGAGATCTATGGTGACGTTCCTGAGGTGGCAGCGGATGCAGTCCTAATCCTACCCGACTACGTGGAGGAGTACACTTTCGAAAGACCTGGAGAGCTCAGATCTGTGCAGGTGCTCAATCTGAATGTTACGGAAGAGCAGCGTGTGCTGGAACTGCAGGTACTTATCGTTACTTATAAAATTCAAAATGGGATGCTCATTTGTTGGCTCAAATGTTTGATTTGCAGGTGGAGCAAAGGATTTTGTACCGCAGCTGCCTGCGCGATGACGAGGCAGATCCCAGTGCCACCAAGGTGCTGCAGAAGATCTCCAAGGTGGCCCTGGACTATGTGGAGCGCGACCAGGCTCTGCGCATTGGCGCCATGAGCAAGGTGGGCGTCACCGCCGAATCGAATGCCTGCAACGATGGCACCGCCGATTGCGTGGAAAACTCCGTCTGCGTTCCTTACGAGGACACCTACCGGTGCGACTGCTACCACGGATTCGATGCTCAACTAGATGAGCGTGGAGTGGAGGTCTGCCTGGACATCGACGAGTGCAATACTGGCTCCCACGCCTGCGACGAGAATGCGATTTGCGACAACACGGAGGGCGGATTCAGCTGCTACTGTATCGAAGGATTCGAGGGCAACGGCTACCGTTGCCTATCCAACAGCACCGCTGACAACATTGAGTACCCGCCAGCAGTCGAGGGCCAAGCTGAACCCACCTCCGAACCAAATCCCGATCCCAGCCCGTATCCCGACCAGGGAAGGGAAGAAGAGCGTGAGCGGGAGCCTGGTCAGAATCCCGATCCGGAGCCCTATCCATATCCAGATGAGCAGGTTGCTCAACATCCCGACGAGTGCTACGTGAGTAAACGAAAATATTTCACTATGGCAATATTGCAATGGCAAGAAAGTAGAGCAGAGAGCGGAAAACGTTACTACTAAATCACATTTTTTGGGCTTAACATTACAATGCAAAAATCAGCATTCTGTAAATTCTAAGAACGAAATGGGCGCTCAAAAGTAGGCAACGGTTTTGGTAAATGTCTAGACATCTTTTTCCATTATAAGTATTATAATTTCAACGACATAAGAATAACAGCATGGCGGGACATGGCCGCCACTAAAAGTGCGTACATGGAAAACCAATGTATGATCGTTACGCATCCTGGTAATCGAATGTCTTCGATCATTTCGTATGCAGCACTGCTCGAAGGACGCCGACTGTTACAAGGGACGTTGCACCTGCCACGACGGATTCGCCGGCGATGGCTACACTTGCACCAATATTTGCGGACATGACGATGTCTGGGAGAACGGACGTTGCGAGCCTCTGCTGCTCGAGAGGCACGATGTGGATCCGTTTTGCGATGCTCTAGGGGAATGCCGATGCCCCTATGGATACGAACTGAGCGAGGGAAGCCAGCGCTGTACCTATGTGCCAGAAATCGATGGAGAAAGGAACGCCGATCTGAGTGAGATTCTAGCTAGACTGATTGAAGGCGTCGGGATTACGTAACCATCTTTGTGCCTTGTAGTTCCCTGCGATGTGGATGAAAACTGTCACAGCAACGCCACCTGCAGCTGGTATGGCGTGGAGCTTCGCCACATTTGCACCTGCCAGCAGGGATTCAGAGGCGATGGCTACAACTGCGACCCAATCAGCGACGACTCCTGTGCAATTGTGAGTTATTATAGCCCCCAAATGTGAATCCCCATGACAGCATCTTTGCAACCCCGTCAGAGACCCGATATCTGTGACGTTCATGCCACCTGCGTGTATGACGAGCAGCTGGGCAAATCCATGTGCCAGTGCCAGACGGGCTACGAAGGCGATGGCTTCCGCTGCCAGTTGGCCGCCGAGTGCCAGTCCGATGAGCAGTGTGGCGAGAACGCCATCTGCGACGACGGCGTCTGCCGGTGCGAGCCGGAATTCGAGCGGGACGTCAGTGACCGCTGTGTGCCGGTGGGACGTTGCGGCAGCGTCTTCTGCGGCTCGAATGCCTTCTGCATGTGGGACGCGTTGCAGAGCGTCCAGTACTGCGATTGTCTCGAAGGATACCAGGGCGACGCACTCACAGGATGCACCAGCAAGCCCGTGTCCTGCCACGTCCTTTACAACTGCGGCATACACGCCACCTGTGAGCCCACCGAGTAAGTGCCACAATCGAGGTATAATTATACGATAAATTATTGTTTTTACTGAAATTTTACAGTATCCCATATGCAGGCAGATCCCATTTCTTTTGTAGTGTTTTATCATTTGGCTATTGAGTTATATGCTGATTTTTATGAGATATCTTATATTTCTGCTTTCTTGTTTTTAGGGATCCTGCCAATTACGAGTGCCAGTGCATCGCTGGTTACAAGGGAGATGGATACGTGTGCATCGAGTTGGAGAACTGCCTGAACAACCCGACCTTGTGCGACATGAATGCTCAGTGCCGTTCGACCAACTCTGGTCTAGTCTGCGTCTGCAATCAGGGTGAGTTTGAGACGAGTTCGGAGAATGCCCCATTTCACTGCGGGCGAGTGGTGCGCTCCTCCAGACCACCCCTCTTCTGATCGCAGGGGGCGCAGGAGTTGAAGAAGCAGAATCCGAAAATGGACAAGGCCAGCACCACATTGAAATAGCCGTTATTGCGGTCCCAGGTCAGCGGATGCATAAAGAATTCGCGCATGGACTGAAAGTGCGTAGGGCGCTTGTAGGGCTCGTCGGGTATGCTGGGCCTCAACTTTTGTTGGTTGAAGGATCGGGATTTCAGTTTGAGACCCTCGGCGGATGGGCGCCACATCTTTGTCAGCACCTTCTGCGTATGACGCATCCCTTAAAAGAATGCAAGTCTAAATGGCTGGGTATATATAGGCCAAAGAAGGTAACTTACCGTATAATTTATTGGAAAGCTGAAAATTTTGAAGAGAGAGATCAAATGTGGGAAAGACTGATGCAGCCAGGAGTACTACGATCAACCTTGTTCCTTGCTGTCTAATAAAGTTGTTGTTTTTTCATTACAGGCTTCTACGGTAATGGATCCTTTTGCCAGGAGCGCCAGCATCAGGACTCTGACTTCCTGATTGTCAGCCAGGGTGTGATGATTGCTCGCGTTCCGCTAAATGGACGCAATGTGCGTCCCATTTCGGTGGCCCAGATGGCCATTGGCCTGGACAAGGATTGCGTGGAGGGTCGTGTCTACTGGGGCGATATTTCCACAAAGAAGATCGTGAGCGCCAAATACGACGGCACTGATCTGCGACCCTTCATCACCACTGGTAGGATAACATTATTTTAGGCAGATGGCAAGTGCCTAACACCTTCACTCCCCACAGATATTGATTCTCCCGAGGGTATTGCCATCGATGTGATCTCGCGTCGCCTTTACTGGGCGGACTCAGAAAAGGACACCATTGAGGTGGCCAGCCTGGAGGATTCTTCCCTGCGGGCAGTCATCATCAATAAGCAGCTCGTCAACCCCCGTGGCATCGCCGTGGATCCCTACAGGGAGTAAGTGTCCTCCTGGCTTAAACACCCCATTCAAACTGCCTTCTAACGGAATGATTCACCAGGAAACTGTTCTGGTCGGACTGGGACCGCGAGGCACCCAAGATCGAGATGTCTAACCTGGACGGCACTGGAAGGGAACTTCTGCTGGGAAAGGATGCCGTAAGTCTGCCCAACTCCTTGGTGGTGCTCGAGAACTCCGGAGAGGTGTGCTATGCGGATGCCGGGACAAAGAAGGTGGAGTGCATCCAACCGCAAAGCCGCCAAATCCGCACCATCTCCAACGAACTGACCTATCCCTTCGGCATCACATTCACGCACGATCAGTTCTACTGGACAGACTGGAGCACGTGAGTTAATCGGACATGTTTGGTCAGAAAAAGATACTAATAGGAATATTTTTTTGTAGGAAAAAAGTGGAGATCGTTGACAGCTTGGGAGCACGGCAGACGGCCATTCAGCCGCCCTTCTTTGGCAGCCACAAGATGTACGGCATGACCGTCGTGGAGCAGAACTGTCCGCAGTATCAGAGTCCCTGCCAGATCAACAACGGCGGATGCACGGACTCCCGGCTCTGCCTGGTCAACCGACAGGCTCCGTCCGGAAAGAGCTGCAAGTGCACCAGCGCCTCCACAGGATGCACCGTGCCGACGCCCGGCTACTAAGTCTATGTTAAATGCAAACTAAAATTATTTTTCGATACGTATACAAGCACACAAAAAGCAAGTTAACCAAAGCGCGGAAGGGTATCGAGGTGAACTAAACTAAATTTACTTAACTAACTAGGAGGCATGTGTGCCATTTCAGTGAAGAATAATTAATAAAAAGAAAAAGCTAGAAATTTAGCCAGAATTTGATTGCTTGGGAGAAGCGTGTTTCTTGGAACCAATGTTCAACAATTAATTCAGTAGTTAATTCAGAAAATCATAGTGCAACCGCCTTTAGCAGCCTCAGTTAAAGGCACATTCTTACATAAATTGCGAATTTATTATAAGACCGAATGTAAGTTCAGCTTTGGCGACGAATAAATGGAACTAAAACCCAAGGTGCACCGATGATTTAAAAGTTGGGAGCTGTGTAATCAAAAAGGCGATACAATTATTTCCAACTATAGTTTGAGTTTATTGTGAGTTCTGCTCGGCATGCCTTAAAGAGCATGGCGCCGATAAATATTACAGCAAGTTTATACCCTAGTCGCACTAATCGTATCTCTAATGCCGCAGCCAATGCCAATTGCGGCTCAGTTAACTACTTTTGTACATTGAGACATCGATTTGATCTATGTGGCCTATGTTGAAGATGTACAGATTCAGTAGTGTACGGATCTATATATGTCTATATAAATAGGTTTCTGGGGTGCTAGGCATAAGCTAAACTAGGTATTCCCTCGAGACACTGGAATGCATTTCGTCGTCATCGTTGACTAAAATTTTCTTATAAAACTGACGTAAGTGCTTTAACTAACAATTTCTGTGTGTGTGAGTGTGAGTGTTTGTGTGGTATGCGGTATATGGTATATGGTTGAGTAGGTACATAGTTCGCTTTAATTAATGTCTAAAGAGCCTATAGCTGGGATCGAATTGAGTTACACTTCGCTACAGGGTTGTGTTAGATGTGAACGCCGGTTCACATAGCTCATTGAATTTGGTACAGTTTCCGATACTTGATCCTTGGTTCAAACTAGCCTTAAATAGTTAACTCTAAACTCTAAATCTAAATTCTGTTGTCTTTCGAATTAAGTTTTGTTCATAAGGTTATAGTAGTTTGTTTTTGCCTTATTTTGTTCTTTAATTGAATGCATGGTTGGTTCTTACTCACATAATTTATATACAAATTGTTTGATTTATTTAATATATGTATACATATTTTTGTTGGTTTTGTAAAGCATTAGAGTATACCAAAGCCCGTTCCAATTTATGTTATGAAAACCGTTTCACTTTCTTGGTGTGTTTTCCTCCTTCTTTCTCTCCTATAATTATGTAAAACACTCCTAGTAGTTTTACAAAATGTGAATCTGAATGTGTGTATAGTACAAGACATTGATAGCACCTTCATATATGTATCTATATGGGGTTATACGTGGGTCAGAGGAAGGTCCTTCCGAGGGAAGGGGAAGCTAAACCGAGCTGAAGCCCAACTAAGTGATCATACCTAAGGTATATACATGGTATTTTGCTTTAAAGCCCGATCTATTTGATAGTTGCTACATCTGGCTTAGAACTAGGCATCAGATATATACAGTTATACAGTTTGCTTTATCATCGCCCCACCTATCCAATAGTTTAACTACATTTGTTGTTCCCAAAACACAATTTGCTGCGGCTTCCTTTGCACAAAGCCAACATGTTCATAGCTTACAACTAATTTGCAAAACATGCAATATACAATATACGAGTATGCCTACTCCCTAGCGATAAACTGATAAGCACGCGCCACTCCCTAGTGATCTATTACATGTAGGGGACTAACCTAATGGGACTCGAAGTGGATTAACCGAGAACACACACCACAGACAGCCTTTTGGGGTGGGTGGGTTTGTTTGGTTGGGTTTCCTAATACTTTCGTACTTTCGCTCTGCCTAGAACTTATCTCTACGGGTGTGTCTGTGTGTGCTGGCCGTATTCTATATCCACTTGTTTTTCGACATGGAGGAGCGGAGTCGGCGCCCCCACATCAGGTTGTATCATACGATCGTTCCCTGCAAATGCTGTGGCGATGACACCTGAGATGGCTGCTGTCCCAGCGAGTCCTGTGCTTGCAGCGACCCACTGGCGCCCGAAGAGGTACTTGGTCCGGGTCCCAGGTCAGCGGTATTGATGGCCAGTGAGGAGCCGCCGCCCAGCATGCCGCCGGTGGAGGAACCTGCTCCAGATGGGTTAATGCCACCTCCACCGCCACCGCCTAACACACACGGCACACCCAACATGGGTGTGGGCTCCTCGGGCGGTGTCACCTGCAAGGAGATCTGGTTCTGAGGGCGAGAGGGAGGAATTAGTTTCTTTTTTTGATTATACAGATCACTTTGGCACCCACCTCCATGCCGATGCTACCGTTCAGGGATATCTTAATGGGATTACTATGGTTCGTTGCCTGCATGAGGGTGGTGAAGTGGCTTATGCCGATCTCTTCCAGCGACGACTTTCTCCGGCCGTGGCTGACGCCCACGCTGGGAAGGCCCTGTCGCAGGGACGAGGATCGACGCAGCAGGATATCGTTGTCGATCTGCAATTGGAGCAAGCATGGGGAACATCCACCAAGAGTGGCGATCATTAGTGGGTTAGTAAGCCCAATGCCGATATACTCTGATGCCAACGAAACTCAATTACGTTTACACATACAAATTGGCAATTGTTGCAGCAACAGTTGCAGTTACTCAAAGAACTAAACGAACACAAAAGAAGAAACACATGAACGTCAACTCGAAATGCGGCTCGATGGTGGATCTAATTGGACACTTAAATGAAATATTTATCAACAATTAAATATTTCATGAGTTCCTTGTTTCAGTGATTATTCTCTGGGTGCGGACTATGACTACGGTTTACTGTTGTAGTTGATTGTTGCAGTTGTTTTTGCGGTTGCTGCTGTTGATTGTTGCAGTTGCAGTTGCAGTTGCTGCCGTGCTTGTTTGGAGGGGTGATCTGCGGCTTAGTTTTGTGTTCCCATAATTTTGATGCTCGGTGTGAGAGTGCAAATGCATGTCCCACAAATGGGACAGGCAACAGAGTGAACACATTCGTTTGTCATAGCCAATTAGTTACGAAATCAACAATTAAATCAAGCTTTTAGTTTAGTTAGAGATTTTCGGATTGAGTTTATGCTGCGATTGAAAACTTCAGATTTGAGATAAATTCATACAAGAATTTAAAGTATGGTAGTATGGTAGAACATTGATAATCGCAGCATAAGGTAATTTAATTTTGTGGTCTGGTGTTTCTAAACATAAATGGTAAAATGTAGCAAACAAACGTGGAAACGTGATTCGAATCAAACGAACAAACATAGAGAAGGAAATCGGTGGTGTGTGTTTGGTGTGTGTGGGTGTGGGTGTGGGTGTGGGTGTAATAGGAATAATAGCCAACCCGCAATGAGTTACTCCGTCCTCGCTGATTGCCAACCACCGTCGGACTGTCGGGTAGAGAAAGAGAATTCGATTTAATTTGCTGCATCGGGGGGCTACAGCGCTGCGAGGATGATCCATACCCGGCCAAGGTCTGAACGCTCTGCATTTGCATGGGGTTCAAGCCGGCAATGCCGGATCCTCGACGCGATCCAGCCCCGACGGCGGTGTTGGCCATGTTCATGTTCATCTGCGGCATCTGTGGGCCGCATGTGGCTCCCAGGTTAATGTTCGAGCAGAACGAGATGTTCGACTTGCGGCGCGAGTTGTGTCGCTCGAAGGTTTTTTGGGCGGAGAACGGCGACGGCCTCACCAAGTATCTAAGGGAAAGTCCAAAATAATGATCAAATTTTGATAAACCATTTATTTTTGAATAGAAACTTCTGCAGAAAATGGTACACATGTCGCCCGAACATGGACCCTTAACAAATAACACGTTAACTATATGTATTTAAATGAAGTGTGTGCTACTCACATGAGATCGCCTTCCTCCAGTTTCAGATCACAGCTCGGGTTGATTATCACATAGGACAGGTGGTTGCGCTTCTCGCTCACATCGTCATAGTCGATCGTGGGCAGATTCAGGGACTCCATCCGACTACGTACGAGATTCGCGATCTCCGCGCGCTCGATCTGCTGGGCATGGTTGTCCCTCGCCTCGTCGGCCAGATTGATGGAATACTAAAAGATTGGAGTACTTTCTAATCACACGCTTTTAAGGTAAACCCTTTACATGATGTTACTGGCCGGTTTGGGTTTCCAATTGCAATAATTAAAGAACTGAACGAAAGTGTCAAACACCCAATAAGAGATTTTGAGAGGAAAACCCAAAGAGGCCCATAAGAATGTGCTAGCTGATCCTGAGTGTGTGTTATTGTTGTGCGAAAATGCAGACGGGTGGAGCTGCATCGTCCCTTGCTGGTTTAGTTGTTTAGTTGTAGTGAATCATGCTACCATACAAAGAACATCATGCTGCAGAAGCCGGAATGAAATCAAGACGGACCTACCTGAAACCAAACTTAAATGGCACCCCACAACCCTTAACCCCCACCCCTTAACCGCCGAGATACAGTTGGTTGGTCGAAAATGGAGAATGCCGTCGAGTGGGGCTACTTACGGATGATCCCTTGCGCTCCGAGCAACCGCCCAGGCAGTTGACCGACCGCTGGCGTTGCGGCTGCGGCCGGAAGCTGCTGGCGCCACCTGTTGCCGAACCAGGCGGACGGTAGGTGACCCCGCGCAGCATTTCCGTCGAGTCCTTCGTCGAGTCGGGCGTGCCGGTCTCCTCGTCGTACTGAGGCATGCCCATGATTAGTTTGGTGTATGCAAATTCGAGTTCAATGAGTTTGGTTAAACACAAAATGATTTACATATTTAATTGGTTTTTAATTGAAATGGCAAATTGCTTTCACTGCTCTCCATGTTCGAGTATGCATGTGTGTGTGTGTGAGAGAGTTCAGTGTATGGTATGGTGACTGAGTTGTGGCCTTAGCAAAATGGTTAACATTTAGGTTGTTTAGGCATGCTGTGTGGAGGAAACACGCAAAAGTTTGTTTCCCCCTTCCGCTAACGGTTGAATTAAACAAATCGTAAGAACTGAAAACACGCGATTTATTGATTTAAAAAGCCAGAAAGCAAAAAGTTTCTCAACCAAAACCGTTAAAAACTCTGTGGAAAAGGTGCAGGGCAAGCTATTGGCGGTTGTTTATCAACTAGGTTATAGAAAAAGCAAAGTTTCAACCATTGGGACTACATTTCACCTACGTTCGGGGGTTTTCAAGTCTAATTAAATTACGTTTTTTTCTTCGTGTTTGGCAATTAACCCAAAATTGTTTGCCCAACCCCCATGCGGTTGGCTCTTATTGATTTTCAAATCGAGCGAGCATTTTTAATGAGCAATCATCGTGCGCATCTGGGCAGGGACAAAAACTTTGAGTAATTGTAATTGGGGAGTTGGCCAAATGAGAGAAAACGGGTTAGCAAGAGTCACAACTGCAAGGCCTGGCGCAATAAGCAAATGCAATCAGCTAATTAAGAGGCGGCATGCACAGAGCAACGGAAACAAAATCGGAAGGAATCGGAAAGCAAAACTGAAACTGAAACTGAAACTGAAACTGAAACTGAAACCGAAGTCAAATTAAAGCCGGAAAAGCCAAGCATGCAGCAGCCAACAGGTCACGCAAAAAGGACCAACAGGATGGGATTGGAGGTACCACTACCACTACCCACTCCCAGGAACAACAACTACGACTAGACTACACACAGTTACACACAACGAATTTGAAGGCCAGGCTAAAGGGGCAGGCATATGAGAATGTATGAAGTGTGGCTGGTGTTTTCGGTTTTCATTGGTATTTTGTTTGTTTTCGTATTCGTTTTCGTTTCGTTTTCACTTTTATTTTCATTTTCATGTTCGCTTTTCTTATTTGCTTTTCGCTTGGGGAACTCACTGCGTGCGTGTGCGTCAGGTCCAATACAAACGCAAATCAATTGTTCAATTGGTACAGCGGGGCGTATGTGTAATTTGTATGAGTAATTTCCTTGGCCTGATCTAATATGCTCACAGAATGCTGGCTAATGGTTCGTCTGTCTGATCTGTTTTCCTACCGAATGATGAATGCTGTGACGGCAAAACTTAATTCAAAAACGAAAACGGGCGATGGGGTTTGGGCGGATATCTTGCAGCCCGATCTGCAGCAAGGTCAGAGCTACTGGAAAAGTAAACAAAGGGGGAGGGCAATCTTACGGAAACTGCAATGGGAGTGGGAGTCGTAATCGGAATCGGAATCGGAATCAGAATCAGCACGCTATGCTTTGTATAAATTAGTATATTCTGGTAAATAGCAGTTTACTTTAAAGGGAGCGAGTTGTTGCTAATAGCGTCAATCAAGCTTACATTATATATATTTTAGGTATAAAACTATATCTTTACAATCTCGGCCGCTTACGGTTACAAATTGAAAGGATTATATATTTGGATATGTATATATATATACATATATATAGAGAGAGAGAGAGCGAGAGAGGGAAACAGGTAAATGTATGCACTTAACATTATTCGAGGTAAATATGCAAACTCCGTATGATGAACAGACTTGAGACTCAATGCAGTTAGTAGTAAAGCGAAAGCGTGTGATTAAGAACACAAGAGACAAAGTAAAACACCAACTGAGGGATAGTGAAACCAAAAACTGAACCGAACAAAACAGAACGAAAAGAACTTCGATTAGGCCTTGTCGTCATCTGGGTAACTCAATTGGTTAATATGCAACTGAAGTTAAAAAGTTATCGTTTTCTGTTTAATTTGCTTTTCGCTGTGTTTCGGTGTGTGTACCTAATCGCAGCTCGAGATGCGAATAAGTGAGCAAAGACAAGTAAAAGGCTATAGTTAGAGTAGAGCTAGGAAGATAGAGTTAGACATAGAGAAACAGAGAGATATAGTCAGGCTAAGTGTGGACTGGTGAGCGAGTGGAGTGAGCGTGTTAACTTGTTAACTGGGTTAGAAACAAATGTCTCTCGAGTGTCCTGCAGAGCCGTCCCCTTTTCATGGGTTGGGATCGGATGCGCGGTCTAGAAGTTTGATCTTGGGAACTGATCTTGAGATTTGCTATTGTTTGTTTTGCTGTTTTGCCTTGGACTCACCGATGGACGCAAGCGCACACAATGCCTGCTGAAGGCCGAGAAGGGTCCCCATCTCTCGACCGGCGAGTTACTCACATGAGACGTGTCCGCATTCGAGGTGTCCTGCGTGCGGTAAATGCCAATGGGTATTTCGCAGGTGGTGGAGCACAGCTTCTGGTACAGCCGACCATAGGTGCGTATCCACATGTCGTCCTTGGTGATGCGCATCTGCGGGAGACACAGTTAACACAAATCGCCCACCATCACCTGACTGACACTAACCGAGGTCAGGAACCCACTGCCCGGCGCCTGGTCAATGCCCAGCAGCAACCGCACAAAGGTAATCACATAGTCCTTCACGAAGGCCTGGTACAGCAGGGTGTCCAGCATGGAGGCACTGAACACGGCTCCTGCGGCAAAGGGCAGGCGGAACATATAGGAGATGTGCGACCCGCGCTCCTTCTCGCGCTGCAATTAAGTGAGCGGCAAATTAACCAAATGTCAACTGAAAGGGGGCGTGGGGCCAACGCGCTACCGACCTTCTCCATTTTGCTCAGATGAAGGGCGTACTTGTCGTGGGCCCGGAACTGCATGAACCTCATGTTCGAGCTCTGCGACAGCTCGGTGATGCTCTTGATGCTGGGAAAGAATCTACAAAGAGATGGGTTAGGGTCCAACTGGTTCTAGTATAGCTGTGTACCACGCACTTGAACATATTCTGCACGGCCACAATGGTGTTGCAGTCTGAGAGGGAGTCCTCTTCGGCGGAATTGGAGAGCTCCTTGTTGACCACCACCACACTTTCGGCCAAGGTGATGCCAGCCCTCAGCAGATCGTCCAGGCAATCGATCGAGCCCAGCATCCAGTAGACCTGCGACCAAGTAGAATCAGAATGCTCTAACAAAAGTTGGTTGTATCAGCCTACCAAGGGAAAGTACGACAACGCATCTAGGAAGGCCACGTCTGGCCTTCGCTCCAGGAGCAGGATGATGGGATTCAACGAGGTCTTCGATCGGAAGTGAGCTCTCAGCGGGATGATGAAGTTGTATATGCCATTGGAGGCGTAGTCGGCTGCCAGGATAATCGTCTTGTTCTGCCACTGGTACTCCTTTGCATTTCGATAGCTGCAGTGCTCGCAGACCTGCGAAAGAGATTGGTTTTCCTCCAAATGAAATGGCCCGGCCCAAATACTGTCAAAGTTTCCCACCTGAGCCAACTGCAAACAGCAGAGGGGCTTCTTCTCTTTGAGCAGGTAGCACAACGTGGGACTAACGCCAATGAAGGGTGACACGGGTGGAAAGCCCTTGACGATGCTGGAATGGTAGACGATACTCGGTTAGACGTGAGTTCCCCGTGGACACGGCGATGGGCGACAGGTTTTCAAGGTGGGTGGTGAGATGTGCGGGTGGGAAAACAAGCATATTGTGCTGGGACTTAAACGATGTAGCTACGGATTGGGAAATAGTGTCGGGTTTTAAAGGATATGCAAGCTACGAGCAGATCTAAAGCATTCACTACGAATTAACAGAATGGTGAAACTAAAACTTTAACTGTGATTCCCGAGACCCTGCAGTTGTGCTCCTTCTAAAACTGCTGTGGATGGCGGCAAAACTTTGGCGCTTTCAGGAAGCCCTATGGAATGAATACACAATTGCAGCCGAAAAACAAAACAAAGCCAAGGAGCAAGCAGAAGCAAATGCTGATTAGATGCAGATGCACCACGGCACCGAGTGGGAGCACCACGACAAATGGCACAGAATCTCGAGTTGTTCCTCCTTAGTTGGTCCAAGGTAAACGGCGGCGTCATTAAAAGATGTCCTGCGGCAGGCAAACAAAAGCAACAACAACGAACGAACAGCAACAACGAGACAAGAACTCTTCAACAAATGGCGTGTGTCCGCAGAATGTCCTCCCCCGCATCCCCCCGCCATCAGTCAGACTTACCAGGAGTAGTCGTAGACCCAAACCGGACGCACCGGTCGACGTGTCTCTACGGAACTGCTCGACGTGAATGCCGTTGCCCCACTTCCTGCTGCCATTGCTGTTGTCGCTGCCACCGCCGGCGTGGTGGTTGTGGTGGCAGTGGAGCAACTGCAGGAGCAACAACGCTGCAGCTGACGCCTTCTGGCCGCCAGTCTGGCCAGGGCTCCTCCACCCAGGCCCAGGCCCACACCCATGCCCATGCCCGCGCCCATGCCCGTGCCCATTCCCATTCCGGGCACCGAGCGGCACTCACTATCGCAGCTGAAGCTCTTTTTCATGACGCGCCTGCGCAACTGCGGTAGACACTCCTCGGATGGCATGGCAGTGTAATCGGCATTAGTTCCGGACTCGCCTGGAGAATCACTTGGGTAGGCAGGAGCAGCAGCAACGGCAGCAGCGGAAGCGGAAGCATTGGCACTGCAGAAGCTGCAACCGCGCTGATACGAATCCTCCGAGGAGCTCATGATGAGCGAATAGGTTCGCGATTGTGGAAAATGCCCGCCCAAGCAGCTGAGGCGAAGTTTTCGATTGTCGTTTAGTTTGATGTGTTCGAAGAATGGTGGTTACAATTAGGGAATAGGACGGGTGTCTAGTGCTTAAGTACAACATATACAATTTACATTCAGTCGGGGTCTCGCAATCCGCCACGATTAGGTTTGTTTTAGGTACAACAACACACTTCGATCGTTTCGGCTTGCTGAGATCAGACTAGCAAGGTGTATGTACACAGATTCATGTCAGAGGTTAGTTTCTCGAGGATAACAGCTTAGCTAAGAAATATAGTTAGTGATACACACGTGTTACGTAGTACAATCTGTTTTGGGGTTTAAATCTATATTGGTAAGAGACACTACACTGGGAAAGGTGGATACGGTGCCTCGGAATAGTGACAAAAAGGGGAGTGTACTGGGTTGGATTAGAGGGGAGATACTCACGCAATCTTCTCCGATGGCGAACGCCAGGGCATCTCGTCGTCGATCTCATCATCACTCTCGTCCCCCTCCTCGCCATCGTCGTTGCCGGCGATGCTGAATGAGGAGGAGGTGAACATGTCGGGCACGGGCAGGATCGAGGGACGTCTACTACCTGAAAACGGGAGTGATGTAGTTAAACTAAATGGATAAGGACATATCCACTTCAATGGCCATTGTCAATGGGATAGTTCAAATGGATCTTATGCCGAGTAGCATGAGAAACTTACCCCTCCGCTGGTTGAGCACATCCGGACTGAGCAGGTTGGGATTGTTGGCAAAGGGCACATCCAGGTGATTGCCCGTGGTGGTCAGTGTGGCTGGGGTGATACTGAGCGAGGTTCCCATGCTGTGGGCACTACCCAGGCCGAGGCCACCACCACCACATCCCCCCGATCCGCCCGCCATGCTGGGTGATCCCATCGTCTGGGGCGGCGGCGGCAGGGTCGTTGTGGTTATCGTTGCCGCCGTCTGGGTCACCGTCGTGTCCTTGAGATTTTGCCTAGAGTCCGAGATTATCACAGCCGTCGGATTTTCGCTAGCTGAATGGGGGCAAACCGGAGGTGCAATTAGTACCGGCCAACTTAAGGATCAATATCCATTCTAATTACAACTACTTTGGCGCTTGCTATACAGGATAAAATGTTCACTAATTTCAGCTGAGCGACAAAAATGTGACAGAGAAAAGGGCAAAAAGGCAAGTGGAGCGGGTTTTTTTTTTGGGGTGGGAAGATTCTACAAGACAAACCTGGGAAAACAACTCGTTAAAAGTCCTCGACAAGCTTGCACTGGCCGGGAAACTTTCGGCAAAGTGATTAAGGTGCAACTTGGCCAAAATGTTGTCTTTCCCCTTCTGCAAACAGTTTCTGGTTACTTAATTACATGGGCGGCGTGTGGGAAAGGGGGTGAGCTACGATGACGGGTCTAGTTTGAACACACAATAAGCTAGAATTTCTATTTCTATGCAGCTAATTTAAACGAATTGTTGCGTGAGGTGGATATATTATTTACAGTTCTAGACATCCAAAGCTCATGCACACACACACACAAATAACAAGGCAAACGGGAAACGGGAAACAGAACGCAGTGCAAAGACAAGCGGAAGAAGAAAATGACGGGCGGAAGTTGAAAAAGTGATGTTTGAGGAAAGACAACTACGAAACGTGAAGAAGAAGCCATGTAAAAAATGAAGCAAACAACAGAAATAGTTTTGCATAGTGGCAAAGGGGGAAAACAGGAAAAAGCGCGAGGCTAGCGTGGGTGTGGTCATTAGGGTGGACCTTGGCTTAAAATGCTATACTCCGAATCCGGGTTCGCAATAAATGTTATTCACAATTGCCGCGTGTAAATTACAGTGAAGTTTAAATGTACAATATATATATTATACGATTAAAAACGATTTTTTATGCGGTGTATCTGGCAAGTTTCGTTGGTCCACCCTAGAGTTCATATATGGGTTTTTATTTGACTGGTGTATGTGGGCGGAAGGAATGCAGAAATGGGCTTGGATGGCGGATGGCGGATGGCCGGATGTGTGCTTTGACATGGGAAGTGGAGAATGTTATATGGGATGGGGTTTAAAGGCAGCTCAAGCTCCAAAATCGAGACAGCAAGATAGAAACTGCGAAAGATATATGTTTGTAGCTTGGATGTGGATACGCTAAATCGGTTTTTGGTGAGTGATAGAGTAGGCAAAGAACGTGAACGAAATATTTTGTGATTTGCTTCATTTTTTTTTTTTGGTAGTATCTTTTCTTTTTGGATTCCAAAGATGCGGGTTTTTTCTTGACTTGCGGGCTTTTTACTTTCGTTTGGGGTTTCGGTAGTTCTGGTGTCACACTCACGCACAAATAGTGATGCAAACTCGCCACTGTCAGGTGTTTGCATTGGCGGATGCGGTTGCGGATACGATTGCGGATACGATTGCGGATACGGATACGGTTGCAAGTGGGTGGTGCCGGTGGTGCCACCACCACTATCGTAACTGGGACTGTGGGGCACACGCACACAAACAGACGGCACTGGTGGTGGTGCGGCTGCGGCGGTTGAGGTTGCATTTATTGTTGCTGTTGTTGTTGATGCTGATAGTAATGTTGATGATGTGAAGGTGGTGCTAATTGTTGTTGTTGCTTGTACTGTTGTTGTAGCTGTTGTTGTTATTATTGTTGTTGTTTTTGTTGCGTTGGCTGTTGTCATAGTCGATGATGTAGTTTATTGTTATTGTTGTACTGACGACATTCATTCATAACATTAAACGATAAAACGAGGATTTATGTGGGCTACATAGTGTACTAGTTTCCCCCAGCCCCTTTTCCGGTTTTCCGATTTGATCAAGTTTAGATTAATGATCTACTTCCAAGCCAATCTCATTATATTTGATCGAAAACGGAAACGGAAATCGGGCCTAAACTCTTTTCTAACCGTATATCAGTTTGAATGCGAATGTTTATTAAACTATTGCTGTGTTTGAGTGTGTGTGTGTGTTGGGGGCTTAGAACATAATCTATCCTAAAAAAATAAAATCCTATGGGTCATTGTATATGAAACTAGATTAATGTAAAGGACATTGCCTCTAAGACCTAAAAGCGTGTTTTGTTTCAGTTCTTAAAAGTTGCATTGGTTTTCATACAAATTTTTCAAAAGAAAATTAAGCTCATAAGAAACTCCCTCATGGGAATAAGTTGATCAACAAAGTGGAACCCATACAAAATGATTAAGGTGGAAAGTTTCACAAACTTAAAAAAGAGAAAACAAATTCGGGCAAGGCGAATATTATGATTAACGTTAATTTGAGACAGACTCGCTCACAAACACACACTTAAAGCGTTTTCTTTTCATTCAGACAAACCAAACAAACTGAAAAGTCGAGGAAAACGACAAAGAAAACTTTTAACTCAGCCTCAAAAATAGGCATTATTGGATAAATGTAAGTAGGGGGATATAAAGAGAGAGGTAGAGCAAGAACTGGTTGCTAAATAAGGAAGCTCACAATTCATATATATATCATAATATATTTATGTTTGTCTGTAAATGGATATACAAAGTAGTTTGTTCATTCACTCGCTTGAATTTTAAATGGAACCTTAAACACACGCACACACTCACACACTTGGGTCTAAAGAAAGGATGTACCCACCAGTTGCAGCAGTGGCGTGGTGGGAGGCGGATGAGGAGGGGCCAATCCCTGCCCCGCCCCCCTCCTTGGCAGCTGCCGTGGGGTCCGATGTTTGATTTTGATTAACGACAAATGCGGAATTCTCCTCCTTGGTAATGCTCATGTAATAGCACGTGTCATCCTTTTTCATAATGTGCCTGGGTCCGGGATTCAATAGAATGGTTTCCTCGTAGAATTCCGGTAGCTCCGCCGGTCGCACGCCCACAAGGGCCACACCATATCTGCGGAAGTGGGATTGTATGGAATGGTCATGGTTTAACATGAATTCCGGCTGCGAATGGGGGGAATTTGGGGATTCCCAAAACGATGGCCTCGGAGTACTCACTTGCGATGCGAATGGAAGCTGGCGTAGGTGAAACTCTTGCCCTCGTACTCGCCAAAGAATCGACTGTCGCCCAGGACAATGTGGTAGATCTCGTTTCCGGAACACTTTCCGTACAGCCGATGCCATTCCTCCGGACTCTGCTGGCCCTCCCTGTGGATGGTTCGAAAAACACAAATGTACGTACATACGTATGTTGTAGGGATGTATCGCGGGTAGGCTCATGTGAAATGCATGAGTCATGGCTCAGTTGGTGCCCCAATTAGCATTCGCTGACATCTGATTAACCCGGCATTTCATGCCACGCGACCACAGCTCACGAAAACTAAAACTGGAAACCGCATTCAATTGGAGGTCCCGCAAAACCAACTTCACCTCAACTCGCCAGCTGCGCTCTGCTAATTTTCACACTTGCCGTTGGCGAATAAGGTTTTTAAGTTTTCTTTGGCATGTCACAAAACGCTTTTAATTAACTCTGGAATTTTAAATTGGATTTCTGTCATGTAAGTGCGAAAGATAAAAGCTAGCAAACTCGTCCGTTTGTTTGCGGTGAACTCATTTATTTTAAATGTATTTACCATCTATTCAAAGCTGGTCTGTAAAGCTTAATTAACATGCTGAATAATACTATCGAAAAATTTTAGGTAAAAAAATCAGTATTTTCTTGATACCAATAAAAATAGTTGTCCAATTCTAGAATGTCATACCTCGTTGAATTCGTAACTAAATTTCCTATCGACCTGTTATTAAACAAACAAATTTTAATTTTTTGCCATTTTTCGCAAATTTTGATGATGGTACCCCTTATCGAAAATGCGAAAATTGTAAACAACATTTTATGTGAAAAATAATCAGTATTTTGTCGATAGCAATAAAAATAGTTGTCCAAAACTAGAATGTTATACATCGTTGAATTCGTAACTAAATTTCCTATCGACCTGTTATTAAACAAACAAATTTTAATTTTTTGTAATTTTTCGCAAATTTTGATGATGGTACCCCTTATCCAAAATGCAGAAATTTGTAAACAACATTTTATGTGAAAAATAATCAGTATTTTGACGATAGCAATAAAAATAGTTGTCCAAAACCAGAATGTTATACCTCGTTGAATTCGTAACTAAATTTCCTATCGACCTGTTATTAAACAAACAAATTTTAATTTTTTGCCATTTTTCGCAAATTTTGATGATGGTACCCCTTATCGAAAATGCGAAAATTTGTAAACAACATTTTATGTGAAAAATAATCAGTATTTTGTCGATAGCAATAAAAATAGTTGTCCAAAACTAGAATGTTATACATCGTTGAATTCGTAACTAAATTTCCTATCGACCTGTTATTTAACAAACAAATTTTAATTTTCTGCCATTTTTCGCAAATTTTGATGATGGTACCCCTTATCGAAAATGCGAAAATTTGTAAACAACATTTTATGTGAAAAATAATCAGTATTTTGTCGATAGCAATAAAAATAGTTGTCCAAAACCAGAATGTTATACCTCGTTGAATTCGTAACTAAATTTCCTATCGACCTGTTATTAAACAAACAAATTTTAATTTTTTGCCATTTTTCGCAAATTTTGATGATGGTACCCCTTATCGAAAATGCGAAAATTTGTAAAAAAAATTGTATGTGAAAAGTAATCAGTATTTTGTCGATAGCAATAAAAATAGTTGTCCAAAACTAGAATGTTATACATCGTTGAATTCGTAACTAAATTTCCTATCGACCTGTTATTAAACAAACAAATTTTAATTTTTTGCCATTTTTCGCAAATTTTGATGATGGTACCCCTTATCGAAAATGCGAAAATTTGTAAACAACATTTTATGTGAAAAATAATCAGTATTTTGTCGATAGCAATAAAAATAGTTGTCCAAAACTAGAATGTTATACATCGTTGAATTCGTAACTAAATTTCCTATCGACCTGTTATTTAACAAACAAGTTTTAATTTTTTGCCATTTTTCGCAAATTTTGATGATGGTACCCCTTATCGAAAATGCGAAAATTTGTAAACAACATTTTATGTGAAAAATAATCAGTATTTTGTCGATAGCAATAAAAATAGTTGTCCAAAACCAGAATGTTATACCTCGTTGAATTCGTAACTAAATTTCCTATCGACCTGTTATTAAACAAACAAATTTTAATTTTTTGCCATTTTTCGCAAATTTTGATGATGGTACCCCTTATCGAAAATGCGAAAATTTGTAAACAACATTTTATGTGAAAAATAATCAGTATTTTGTCGATAGCAATAAAAATAGTTGTCCAAAACCAGAATGTTATACCTCGTTGAATTCGTAACTAAATTTCCTATCGACCTGTTATTAAACAAACAAATTTTAATTTTTTGCCATTTTTCGCAAATTTTGATGATGGTACCCCTTATCGCAAATGCGAAAATTTGTAAAAAAAATTGTATGTGAAAAGTAATCAGTATTTTGTCGATAGCAATAAAAATAGTTGTCCAAAACTAGAATGTTATACCTCGTTGAATTCGTAACTAAATTTCCTATCGACCTGTTATTAAACAAACAAATTTTAATTTTTTGCCATTTTTCGCAAATTTTGATGATGGTACCCCTTATCGAAAATGCGAAAATTTGTAAACAACATTTTATGTGAAAAATAATCAGTATTTTGTCGATAGCAATAAAAATAGTTGTCCAAAACTAGAATGTTATACATCGTTGAATTCGTAACTAAATTTCCTATCGACCTGTTATTTAACAAACAAATTTTTATTTTTTGCCATTTTTCGCAAATTTTGATGATGGTACCCCTTATCGAAAATGCGAAAATTTGTAAACAACATTTTATGTGAAAAATAATCAGTATTTTGTCGATAGCAATAAAAATAGTTGTCCAAAACTAGAATGTTATACATCGTTGAATTCGTAACTAAATTTCCTATCGACCTGTTATTTAACAAACAAATTTTAATTTTTTGCCATTTTTCGCAAATTTTGATGATGGTACCCCTTATCGAAAATGCGAAAATTTGTAAACAACATTTTATGTGAAAAATAATCAGTATTTTGTCGATAGCAATAAAAATAGTTGTCCAAAACCAGAATGTTATACCTCGTTGAATTCGTAACTAAATTTCCTATCGACCTGTTATTAAACAAACAAATTTTAATTTTTTGCCATTTTTCGCAAATTTTGATGATGGTACCCCTTATCGAAAATGCGAAAATTTGTAAACAACATTTTATGTGAAAAATAATCAGTATTTTGTCGATAGCAATAAAAATAGTTGTCCAAAACCAGAATGTTATACCTCGTTGAATTCGTAACTAAATTTCCTATCGACCTGTTATGAAACAAACAAATTTAAATTTTTTGCCATTTTTCGCAAATTTTGATGATGGTACCCCTTATCGAAAATGCGAAAATTTGTAAACAACATTTTATGTAAAAAATAATCAGTATTTTGTCGATAGCAATAAAAATAGTTGTCCAAAACCAGAATGTTATACCTCGTTGAATTCGTAACTAAATTTCCTATCGACCTGTTATTAAACAAACAAATTTTAATTTTTTGCCATTTTTCGCAAATTTTGATGATGGTACCCCTTATCGAAAATGCGAAAATTTGTAAAAAAAATTGTATGTGAAAAGTAATCAGTATTTTGTCGATAGCAATAAAAATAGTTGTCCAAAACTAGAATGTTATACCTCGTTGAATTCGTAACTAAATTTCCTATCGACCTGTTATTAAACAAACAAATTTTAATTTTTTGCCATTTTTCGCAAATTTTGATGATGGTACCCCTTATCGAAAATGCGAAAATTTGTAAACAACATTTTATGTGAAAAATAATCAGTATTTTGTCGATAGCAATAAAAATAGTTGTCCAAAACCAGAATGTTATACCTCGTTGAATTCGTAACTAAATTTCCTATCGACCTGTTATTAAACAAACAAATTTTAATTTTTTGCCATTTTTCGCAAATTTTGATGATGGTACCCCTTATCGAAAATGCGAAAATTTGTAAACAACATTTTATGTGAAAAATAATCAGTATTTTGTCGATAGCAATAAAAATAGTTGTCCAAAACCAGAATGTTATACCTCGTTGAATTCGTAACTAAATTTCCTATCGACCTGTTATTAAACAAACAAATTTTAATTTTTTGCCATTTTTCGCAAATTTTGATGATGGTACCCCTTATCGCAAATGCGAAAATTTGTAAAAAAAATTGTATGTGAAAAGTAATCAGTATTTTGTCGATAGCAATAAAAATAGTTGTCCAAAACTAGAATGTTATACCTCGTTGAATTCGTAACTAAATTTCCTATCGACCTGTTATTAAACAAACAAATTTTAATTTTTTGCCATTTTTCGCAAATTTTGATGATGGTACCCCTTATCGAAAATGCGAAAATTTGTAAACAACATTTTATGTGAGAAATAATCAGTATTTTGTCGATAGCAATAAAAATAGTTGTCCAAAACTAGAATGTTATACATCGTTGAATTCGTAACTAAATTTCCTATCGACCTGTTATTTAACAAACAAATTTTTATTTTTTGCCATTTTTCGCAAATTTTGATGATGGTACCCCTTATCGAAAATGCGAAAATTTGTAAACAACATTTTATGTGAAAAATAATCAGTATTTTGTCGATAGCAATAAAAATAGTTGTCCAAAACTAGAATGTTATACATCGTTGAATTCGTAACTAAATTTCCTATCGACCTGTTATTTAACAAACAAATTTTAATTTTTTGCCATTTTTCGCAAATTTTGATGATGGTACCCCTTATCGAAAATGCGAAAATTTGTAAACAACATTTTATGTGAAAAATAATCAGTATTTTGTCGATAGCAATAAAAATAGTTGTCCAAAACCAGAATGTTATACCTCGTTGAATTCGTAACTAAATTTCCTATCGACCTGTTATTAAACAAACAAATTTTAATTTTTTGCCATTTTTCGCAAATTTTGATGATGGTACCCCTTATCGAAAATGCGAAAATTTGTAAACAACATTTTATGTGAAAAATAATCAGTATTTTGTCGATAGCAATAAAAATAGTTGTCCAAAACCAGAATGTTATACCTCGTTGAATTCGTAACTAAATTTCCTATCGACCTGTTATGAAACAAACAAATTTAAATTTTTTGCCATTTTTCGCAAATTTTGATGATGGTACCCCTTATCGAAAATGCGAAAATTTGTAAACAACATTTTATGTAAAAAATAATCAGTATTTTGTCGATAGCAATAAAAATAGTTGTCCAAAACCAGAATGTTATACCTCGTTGAATTCGTAACTAAATTTCCTATCGACCTGTTATTAAACAAACAAATTTTAATTTTTTGCCATTTTTCGCAAATTTTGATGATGGTACCCCTTATCGAAAATGCGAAAATTTGTAAAAAAAATTGTATGTGAAAAGTAATCAGTATTTTGTCGATAGCAATAAAAATAGTTGTCCAAAACTAGAATGTTATACCTCGTTGAATTCGTAACTAAATTTCCTATCGACCTGTTATTAAACAAACAAATTTTAATTTTTTGCCATTTTTCGCAAATTTTGATGATGGTACCCCTTATCGAAAATGCGAAAATTTGTAAACAACATTTTATGTGAAAAATAATCAGTATTTTGTCGATAGCAATAAAAATAGTTGTCCAAAACTAGAATGTTATACCTCGTTAAATTCGTAACTAAATTTCCTATCGACCTGTTATTAAACAAACAAATTTTAATTTTTTGCCATTTTTCGCAAATTTTGATGATGGTACCCCTTATCGAAAATGCGAAAATTTGTAAACAACATTTTATGTGAAAAATAATCAGTATTTTGTCGATAGCAATAAAAATAGTTGTCCAAAACCAGAATGTTATACCTCGTTGAATTCGTAACTAAATTTCCTATCGACCTGTTATTAAACAAACAAATTTTAATTTTTTGCCATTTTTCGCAAATTTTGATGATGGTACCCCTTATCGAAAATGCGAAAATTTGTAAAAAAAATTGTATGTGAAAAGTAATCAGTATTTTGTCGATAGCAATAAAAATAGTTGTCCAAAACTAGAATGTTATACATCGTTGAATTCGTAACTAAATTTCCTATCGACCTGTTATTAAACAAACAAATTTTAATTTTTTGCCATTTTTCGCAAATTTTGATGATGGTACCCCTTATCAAAAATGCGAAAATTTGTAAACAACATTTTATGTGAAAAATAATCAGTATTTTGTCGATAGCAATAAAAATAGTTGTCCAAAACCAGAATGTTATACCTCGTTGAATTCGTAACTAAATTTCCTATCGACCTGTTATTAAACAAACAAATTTTAATTTTTTGCCATTTTTCGCAAATTTTGATGATGGTACCCCTTATCGAAAATGCGAAAATTTGTAAACAACATTTTATGTGAAAAATAATCAGTATTTTGTCGATAGCAATAAAAATAGTTGTCCAAAACTAGAATGTTATACCTCGTTGAATTCGTAACTAAATTTCCTATCGACCTGTTATTAAACAAACAAATTTTAATTTTTTGCCATTTTTCGCAAATTTTGATGATGGTACCCCTTATCGAAAATGCGAAAATTTGTAAACAACATTTTATGTGAAAAATAATCAGTATTTTGTCGATAGCAATAAAAATAGTTGTCCAAAACCAGAATGTTATACCTCGTTGAATTCGTAACTAAATTTCCTATCGACCTGTTATTAAACAAACAAATTTTAATTTTTTGCCATTTTTCGCAAATTTTGATGATGGTACCCCTTATCGAAAATGCGAAAATTTGTAAACAACATTTTATGTGAAAAATAATCAGTATTTTGTCGATAGCAATAAAAATAGTTGTCCAAAACTAGAATGTTATACCTCGTTGAATTCGTAACTAAATTTCCTATCGACCTGTTATTAAACAAACAAATTTTAATTTTTTGCCATTTTTCGCAAATTTTGATGATGGTACCCCTTATCGAAAATGCGAAAATTTGTAAACAACATTTTATGTGAAAAATAATCAGTATTTTGTCGATAGCAATAAAAATAGTTGTCCAAAACCAGAATGTTATACCTCGTTGAATTCGTAACTAAATTTCCTATCGACCTGTTATTAAACAAACAAATTTTAATTTTTTGCCATTTTTCGCAAATTTTGATGATGGTACCCCTTATCGAAAATGCGAAAATTTGTAAACAACATTTTATGTGAAAAATAATCAGTATTTTGTCGATAGCAATAAAAATAGTTGTCCAAAACTAGAATGTTATACCTCGTTAAATTCGTAACTAAATTTCCTATCGACCTGTTATTAAACAAACAAATTTTAATTTTTTGCCATTTTTCGCAAATTTTGATGATGGTACCCCTTATCGAAAATGCGAAAATTTGTAAACAACATTTTATGTGAAAAATAATCAGTATTTTGTCGATAGCAATAAAAATAGTTGTCCAAAACCAGAATGTTATACCTCGTTGAATTCGTAACTAAATTTCCTATCGACCTGTTATTAAACAAACAAATTTTAATTTTTGCCATTTTTCGCAAATTTTGATGATGGTACCCCTTATCGAAAATGCGAAAATTTGTAAACAACATTTTATGTGAAAAATAATCAGTATTTTGTCGATAGCAATAAAAATAGTTGTCCAAAACTAGAATGTTATACATCGTTGAATTCGTAACTAAATTTCCTATCGACCTGTTATTAAACAAACAAATTTTAATTTTTTGCCATTTTTCGCAAATTTTGATGATGGTACCCCTTATCGAAAATGCGAAAATTTGTAAACAACATTTTATGTGAAAAATAATCAGTATTTTGTCGATAGCAATAAAAATAGTTGTCCAAAACCAGAATGTTTTACCTCGTTGAATTCGTAACTAAATTTCCTATCGACCTGTTATTAAACAAACAAATTTTAATTTTTTGCCATTTTTTGCAAATTTTGATGATGGTACCCCTTATCGAAAATGCGAAAATTTGTAAACAACATTTTATGTGAAAAATAATCAGTATTTTGTCGATAGCAATAAAAATAGTTGTCCAAAACTAGAATGTTATACATCGTTGAATTCGTAACTAAATTTCCTATCGACCTGTTATTAAACAAACAAATTTTAATTTTTTGCCATTTTTCGCAAATTTTGATGATGGTACCCCTTATCGAAAATGCGAAAATTTGTAAACAACATTTTATGTGAAAAATAATCAGTATTTTGTCGATAGCAATAAAAATAGTTGTCCAAAACCAGAATGTTATACCTCGTTGAATTCGTAACTAAATTTCCTATCGACCTGTTATTAAACAAACAAATTTTAATTTTTTGCCATTTTTCGCAAATTTTGATGATGGTACCCCTTATCGAAAATGCGAAAATTTGTAAACAACATTTTATGTGAAAAATAATCAGTATTTTGTCGATAGCAATAAAAATAGTTGTCCAAAACTAGAATGTTATACCTCGTTAAATTCGTAACTAAATTTCCTATCGACCTGTTATGAAACAAACAAATTTTAATTTTTTGCCATTTTTCGCAAATTTTGATGATGGTACCCCTTATCGAAAATGCGAAAATTTGTAAACAACATTTTATGTGAAAAATAATCAGTATTTTGTCGATAGCAATAAAAATAGTTGTCCAAAACTAGAATGTTATACCTCCTTGAATTCGTAACTAAATTTCCTATCGACCTGTTGTTAAACAAACAAATTTTAATTTTTTGCCATTTCTCGCAAATTTTGATGATGGTACCCCTTATCGAAAATGCAGAAATTTGTAAAAAAAAATTCTAATTCTGTTCACATTTCATCACATTTCAAAACTGAAAATTTGATTTTAATAATGACTTAATGACTTTTACGTTTATTATTAAATATCTATGTTATTGCGAAACTGGATTAGCCAACACTTTTTGCACATTTGCATTACCCCCTTTTTTTAACAGTTTCCTTTTAGTTTGTCTGTTGAACGTCCGACTGGGGAAAACTGGGAAAACTTTCAATAAGCAAAAAGTATGCTCGGAATCATAGCCTAACCAACCGGCTTATGCATTTAACCACCCGAACCGCGGTTATACTAAATTAGTTGGCACACAAAAAAGTATGTATACTAAATGTGTACATAAGGGCCCGCGGAAAAACATCTGAATGAGCAATCAAGCGGTTGTGACCTGGCCACCGACTCCGCCGGTGACGTGACGCATCCAAGCGAGTCGATGACGCACGGCGGATAGAGAATTTTTTGCATGTCCTGCCAACTGGACTACCATGCGTATACGTACTGTCCGCGGGATGTGTGGAGCAGCAGGGTGACCAGTGTGCTGGCGCCGGGACAGGTGCAGTTGTTGGCCAAAAGGGCGTACTTGAACTCGTCCTCGCAGACCACGTGTTCCGCGAACTTCACATGCAGCTTGTGCTCAGGTCTGCGTGAAGCGGAAATGCGAAATGGAAATTCCGCAGGATATGCGATTGGTTGCGTCGCATTTGGCATTTGCAAATGTCAAAAAGAAATTTCGAATTAATCTGGAACAGAACGGGACATCTCCTGCACTGCTAACTCACCTGAATATCTGCACATACTGCGGTACATTCGGTGCGAAATCCTTGACAGCCCAGGAGCGTAGAATGGTATGCTCATCGGCGGCCGTCTTGTCCGCATAATTTCTGGCCGCCAGGATAAAGCACGCCTCCGCCTCATTCATTCTGGCGCGCGCCAAGTCTCCATCCTTCAGACAGGATCCCTGCAAAGGCGTAGTGTGAGGCCAGTCCCGGGCCAGTTAGTTGTGTGAGGCTAATCCGGATTAGGGTGGACAGGTACCTGAATGTATATGACGCGCTGCGCCCAAATGGGCACTTGCAGGATCATTCGCATCGTCGTGTCCAGCTCCATGGGACTGAGCAGCACCACATAGAAGTCCTGCAGGAGCGGATGGGCGTAGAACTCGTTGAGGAAGTCCATTATGGTGTCCGCATGCAGGGTGGTGGAGCACACCACCACGTGCTTTTCGCTTTGGGCGCGATGTGAACTATAACTGCCGCCCAGCTTTTGGCGCTCCATCCACGTGAAGGCCAGCTGCTCAAACTGTGCGGATAGGAGTAATTTATTAGCCAACTACATCATCAATCCCATCGAGAAAATATCATCTTTTAAACGTCTGACGATGACATAAAGCTCTTTAAGGCTATGTTTCTTACTTTAAGGCTTGCACTAAATTAATGGCCCTGTAACCCGTCTTTATGTCCACTTTAACACCAAAATGTACTAGAAACGTCTTATCACTTACTTCATAGATGGTCTAAGTTAATAGTTGGTACTATATAACGTTTAATCCTTTTACCTCATATAAAACTGGGCGCTTTAACGGTCCCATTAAAAGACAGTAGTAGTTTGAGAGGAAAGCACTTATAAAAATATGTTGATGTGCAGTTTTCTAAAGGTTAATGCCACCTTGCTACTTGCTGGCAATGATGACGCCTATAACTCATATATTTGAACGAATTTTCACTTTATAGATTTGAGATAATATTTTCTATCGGAATGTGCACTCAAATAAAAATGTTAGCCAAGAGTACAGGGTTTATCGAAAGCCATTTTCGGGATAATTGGGTTACTGGGATTGAATAAGTTCAATTAAATTTTAGTGCCAGCACCTTTCCCGGAATTTTGCAACATTTTGACCAAAACCGCTTGGAACTCGTTGTTATTGGGCGGGTCCCAGAAAGTCATAAAATCTGCAACATATTGACATGCACTTCGAACTTTTAGTGCTGGCAGAATAAAACCCATTCCACAACAAAAACTGTTCCAGAAAAAAGGTAGAAAAACTGTTTTGATGGATGCTCTTGTTGTTTGCCGTTTGGCCAAGTGTCCAACGGTCAGTCGTATTTGTATACACTTTCAATTGACTTTTGCTGATGCTATATGGGACTATATAATAAGTTGGCAGCTGCAATTCAGATATTTTAATATATAAGAATATACAAACATTATGCAGTAATAGTTGTTAATTTCTTAAATTGTTATTATACCTTTGTTATTATACTTTTTGGCTTGGCTTTAAAATCTCCGCCTTTAATACAAATACAAATTTACATTCCACTTTTATTTTCCCTTACTAGTGAATTTTGATGAATTATATTCTTTACTTTGCCATCTGTCTATCCTAAAGAATCCGAAAGAGTGTTCGGTTACAGTCCTCGCACTTTCGGAATCCATCCCATCTCACATTTCTCGATGGAATCTATACTCCTACTGCTCCTTGCCTGTTTGGCTTTTGTTTTTATTGATAAAACAATTGTTTGCAAATTGTTGAACATGGCAGTCAGTGTGGCCTTCGTAAAGACAGTCCGCCATTGGGGTGGGATCACTGATAGAAAGGCAGACTGGCGAATGGTGAGCAATTTCCATCGACAGAATCCCCCTATTTATTAATATCGATTGATGGCCAAAGTCACCCAGCCCCACAAAGATGCAGATGATGAATGGGGATAAGGTTCGTCCAGGCTTATGGAGCATAAATATTTGATGTGCGTTTTTTGCCCGGCACTAAGATGGCTTTCAAACGAAACTATTTGGCTTGGGCAATGCCCAGGATTGGACTCACCTGCGTAGGCAACACAATGAGGGCGACACAAATCATGATGACCATATAGAGCTGCGAGGGCCAAATGTCCGGCACAAAGTCACCGTATCCCACTGTCGAGAAGGTCACAACCACATAGTATGTGCTCTGAAAGAGATTCAAATGTCGATGGCCGGCGCGCTGAAAGTGCTGGATACCACAAACGCTGCGGATAAATAAAAGATGATTATATTGAGGGATGATTTCAGTGGAAGTTGGGATCCCATTACCTCGTGAATACCAAACACAGCAGTGTGGCTGATAGAATGGTCAACTGCTGGGAGAGGGCTGATTGGGACTTTTGCATGGCGCGATGGAGGTCATTCTATTGGTTATGGTCCAGCCATTAGATAAATTTCACATTAGCATTAAGACAACGTTTCTACTCACAAACATGTTCTCCAGCGATCGCTTGGCCAGCCAGCAATTGAGAAAAATGGGTATGAATAAATTGCGTAGCGGTGGATGAACAATCTGAAAGAATCATTACCGCTGAACAGCCTGTACAAAAATGTCAGGTTTGAACCTACCGTAAGTGCAAAGGGTATTGTCGTTACTAATTCTAGTATAAAGTGAAATGAGAGTATCTGCTGCCAGATGTTGCCCTGGAATGGTTCGATTCGTTTGAAAGACGTTGTCATATAAAGTTTATGGCGGGTGGTGTACCTTATAGCCTAGATATGTGAGAACCAAGGATTGCGTTAGCGACACCATGGCTAGAAGCAATTGCAGGACCCAGAGCACTGTTGGCCGATTCACCCAGAGTATTGCGTCCCAGTTGATGATGGGGTTCTCCTGGAACTCCTCCTCCGTCAGTTTGGCCGAGATGATGAACTCCGTCTTATTGCCCACTTCGCAGCCATAGCTGTGGGGTGTTATATCGGATAGTTTTTAATCAGCGGCAGTTTCTCTTCCGGCACGGCACTTACCATGTTATAAATGTTGGATTTTTATCCAATATCACACGTATTATGTAGAGAACACACGACAGTAACTTAAGGAATAAATCGGCGATTCGTATGCGCAGGCCTTTTTTTTGGGTAGGGGAATATCAAATGCGTTAGAATTTGGGTCAGCTGAGTAAATTACACCGTCTACGAAAATTTATCGAGTGGGTTGCTCCCTGTGGCCCCGAAAAACAAACCCCCCTCAATCGAGACTTGTTTACCTGTTCAATTATTTTGTCTCCAAATCAATATTTACTCAAGATTATCGAATTCGTCTTTGTAATGTCATTCGTTAGACTGTCCATCTGTCTGTCTGTGTGAGTGTAAATGTGAGTGTGTGTGGGCTTGTGCGTTTGTCTGTGTGCCGGCGGTTGTATCCTGGCAGGATACACCGTACATCCGTTTTCCGTCCAGCCCGCCACTAATCAAATTCAATTAAATACTACCTTGTTGATTGTTGTAATTAAGTTGAATGTTTTGGTTAATTCATAGGCTATACTTGGCTGCTGATTACTTACTTGAACGCTGATTCTTAATGAAATAGAGTTGCAGTCTTTCTTTGAATGTGTTTTCGTTCACATAGTACTCCACACGAACTCTGCAAAGAAACGAGCAAAAAGTAGCGCACTGATGATTGAGCTTCTAAATTGAATTGTCGAACAAAGCCTTTGCAAAGACCCTCGTTCGCCATCACGCCCTTATCCCCCAATCGAATTCCCCCATCCTTGTGGCGCCACTCGCTGCACTTGACAATTGATGCGCTTACTTATCACATTAAGCGACGCAGCTGGCTGCACATTTCCCGATACCTTATTACTTTACACTTTGTAAAAATTATAGAAATACAAAAGAGTTAAGAGTTATATTGCGCGAGTCGTGAAAATAAATCCAGATCTTTGATTTGCTTAAGCTGTGCCCTTACTTTAGACAACCAAATATGATGCAACTTAATAATACAGTAGTTATAGATATTTACTTTGAAAGATAGTGTACCGATTACCATTGCCAAGTTGCTGAATTAATAAAGTTTATGACTTGAATGGACAGCCATATGTTGAACTAAATAAAGTAAACATTTTTCCCTGTGCACGGATAGTTAGTGCGTGCAGTTAAGTATCTCGAGAGCATGAAGGGATGGTGTGGAACAAGGAAAAGCTGGAACTGAGCACATGGCTGCCGTGCAGACACGTGACTGCCTTGCCGCCCTTTCTCTCCCCTTCGCTCAAGGACGAATGGCGTTTGCACGGCGTTTTCGCTCGGGAAAACGCGCCGTGAATGGGTTTCCATCAGTGACTACTTGTGCCTGGGGCAAAAGAATGGATGTTTTACGGAATTTGATCAAAGGAGATATATTTTTTTGTTACTTTGCACACTTATAGTCGTATATAACATTCGTCCCTTAGCTGCAGGGCACGCCTCTTGCGACTGCTTGAGTTTGCGTTTGAACTCTTTATAGCTTTATGTTTGATAACCCTTGACTGCAGCTGCAGCTGCAGCACTACTGGCTTAAGTGAACAACGAGTCTAACCACTCCGGCACACATGGCGTATGAGCAACAAAATGCGAGACTTACGCTACACCCACAATTTTTGGGGTGGCGCCATGTATTTTTTTATGCGCTGCCCCAGTTTTGCATTTGGCGTCTCATAGTCTGAATACTCAAGCTAGCCGCATCATGAGAGTTAAGCAAACATTTTTGTGGGATTTTTCTGCACTTGACTGCACGGAGACATTGGCCGTACATTTGAGATCCACTTTGTGTTCAAGTAATTAAAAAAGTAGCTTGAGCCGGGGCACAAAGGAAACCTAGAAGAGATTCAATTAACTGGTTACCACCTTCTTGGCCTTTGTTTTGGCATCTCTCTGTCGCAGCTCATTTGGAAAGACATCGGTGAATATTCATGGTTCATGGGGGTTAATGCACCGGAGCGCCGGGAGGAAACTGTAAGAAGTGTATAGTTCAAGTCAAGTGGCTCCCGGCAGCAGAGTTGGCGCCGAAACGGCACCTTGGGGGCCATTCCAAAGACCTAGGACGATGACTGCGAGTGCGTGGCGAAATTAACGAGCTTGGCCCAAACCGCCATCCAAGCACATGCAAACATGTACACACTAGTAAATGACCAATCAGTTATGACCCGGCCAGAAGCGCCAACGTGCCACTGCATACAATCAACTCTGACCTGCCCCCGAAGGATATTTCGCACTTTTGTGCGGTTTGTGGCGGCGGGTTCATTCCTCTCTAGCTGCTTTTCCGGCCATTGAACGCGGCACCATCGTTGGGCAGCTGGCCATAAGTTCTGGCCAAGAAGGGGTCACCAATCACTTGTCACTTGCTAGCCATTTTCACACGCTTTAAGTCTTTAGTGTGCATATCAAATGGATTTCGCATGTCATTTACCCTAGTTGAACTATTTGCATAAAGTTTGATTGCAAATATTTCCATAAACAAGAATAATTGCGAAAATTCAGAATGCGGGTGGAAATTTAACTTTAAATGTAAAAACTGCGGCTTGGCCGCAAACGAAAAACGACAAACGTGTCGTGTGGGAAAATCGCGGATTATGAAAATCGAGGTCGTAAACTAAATTACCGCCGTTGTTTAGAGCTTTACTGATCTCATTGCTTATTTATGCGCCACTCCAATTAAGTGGACGGTTAGGAATACTTTGCCAACTATTCGAAATCCCCTTATAGTGGGTTATTTTGGTTTCATTTATTTCAATGATTTTAAAACATATACTCTAATACTTAATCCTTAGCCAATTTGTTACTTTATGACTTAATTCTTTTACTTTTGCATATATTTAAGGGTTGAAAAGTAATATAACTTTCAGTGCAGATTAATGCAATTTTTATTTTATTTATAAGGGATAATCTGGCAAACTAAAAACTAAAGTTCAATGTTCTTGTAAATTTCGCTGCCTAGGATTTCAACAGATATGCTTTTTAGCTAACATGTTTCCAAGTTTTAATAAAACCATTTATTTGTTTGCATATCTTTTCGGTGAACTTTTTAGCATAGAATAATTGGTTTTATACCCGCAGGATCCCACATTTTTCCTATGTGAAGTTGGTGCCAGAGCCCGCAAAGTTAAGAACTTTTAAATTATCCCCCCAACTGTGGCTTAAAATGATTCCTTTCTTCAGCTCATCCACGTTTTCATGGAGCCGAGTGGGGAGCACTACCTGGGCCAAGTTGCGCTGGGACAAATTGCACGTTAATGTGTTTTTGTTGTGCCATCATTTGATTATCCACAGATATTGAGTTTAAAGCTGGCTAAAATGGCAAATGGGCAAATGGGCAAATGGGCGAATGGGCAGCCCGCGGCTGGATGTACTTAGATTGTTTTACCTTCATTGATTTTTGATTTGGCGCTTTTTAAAGAAAATGTGATTTAATTTCGTGTGCGTGGTGGGCTCGGGTTTCTGTGTTCGTGCCGAGATTTGATTACAACTCCTTGATGAAATTGCGTCAGTAGGACGGTAGGATGGTAGGATGATGGCAATGGCGAAATGGCAAGGCCAAGCAAATCAAATACCACAAAGGAGATCTGCGAGAAAGTCTAGCACAACGGCATTTTTGGGCCTGGCCAACACAAAGGATTGGCGGACAAAGGACACCATTCAGGCCCATGCGTGGTTTCAGGTAGCTACAAATTGCATCCTTTTGAGGGATAAAACGCGGTTCTCCTCTTTTTGTTTGTTCGCGGCTCCGCATGTTTATTACAGCGCTGATGAGGCACTTCTATATCTCTGCTGAAGTCCATTAGGGAAACGCTGCATTGATTGCTGCTCGTAAAGGCCAAGAGCTCTTAGCCAGGGATATACACTTATTTGTGTGTTTGTAGATGACAGCTTACTGAGGGCGGAATTCAGGAAATTTCTCAAGATGAGAATGCATTTTGGTCGACAAGCTTCCGGCACTAATTTGTCATTTAAAATGCAATGTTGTCTTTTGTTTGCTTAAATATTTATAGGGAAAGTCCTGCGAGAAAGTACATAAATTGTAAAGGAATTCCATGTTTCACTTTAGTAATGCTTGCCCACTGGACGGAATGTGGTAATTAAAATCTTAATATAATATTGTAATATCTAGATTGTTGAAAACACAAGTATAGCTACATGAATGCTATAATTAAAGAGAATGAAAAGAGATTTCGTTGTCATTTAAGCTATATATTTCCGACAATGTTTAGCTTTTAGCAGTGTAGCTTTTAGTTAAGAGCTTATTTGATTATAAAACGACGCCTTGTCACTGCTTTGACCTGTTAATGGCCCAAATCGAATTTCGAATTGAGTTACGGCACACTCGGCGTATACTAGATTTCGAGGACCACGCGGCGTATACGCGATGTCGGCTTACCTGGGTATTCGATCATAGGAGTCCCACGAGGAGAGACAATTGTAGGACGAATTGCGACTGTTGCCCGCCATGTTGCATAATAGATGATCCATTGGCTCGAACGACCGCGGCTCGAAGCACTTTAGGTAATTTCACGATTCGATCACTTTGTGAAATTGCATTGCATTTTCGATATCTGGATGGTTATACTGATATGTATGGGTGGTCTTTTCTAGTTTGGACCCTTTAGGAATATCACACATGCTTAATTCCAGCACTTTTGGCCAACTTCAACTTTAATCAAAATTGATTGCCCTAGTCGGGCAATTAATTTTACTGTTTGAACACGCAATTGAGGACAGAACGCGTGTACACACACGCTGGAACATACTTATTTATAGCTTGTTTAACATGATTTTTTGTTGCCCGCCATCTGGGTCGTGTTGGGTCCTCCCATTGTGTGTTCTTGTGCTCTTGGCCATTTAATAAATTTATTGCCCTAACGGCCGTAGCCTTGAAATGCAATGGCATCGGCGGAAATGGATGAGCATGATATAGCAAGCATTGTGCCCTCATTTTGTCATTAAGCCCGGCTTTTACACTTTTTATTATTTGACGCGGTCTGACTACTTTCTGCTTACATTATTTTCCACTTCCACCTTCAGTTTACGCAATTAATTAAAATGTATGAAATGCCTGGAATTGCCCCTTTTGTTAATCCCGGAATTCAATTGAAAATTTATTCATTATTTAAGGTGCTCTGCGGTGCGGTATTCAATGCTTTTATTCAATTTGATTGCTTTTTAATTGCGAATTCATGTTCACTGCGGCAGGGGAAATTCGCTTAAGTCTCGTTACGGAAGTAACAGGCCGTTGAACACGTTCAGTGTGAGTGATTTGAGGACTTCATTGGCTTGGCCCAAAGGAGTCAATAAAATTTGTCGCCTTTAACTTTCGCTGACAGATACAAAGCCAAATCATCAAACGTGACTTGAAAAGTCTGCTAAGTGACACATTGACAAATGACAGGACAAAGCGCCGTCTATCCTGAATCTAAAGGACATTGTGCGGTTGCCATTCTACTTGATAAATTTCTCTTCCTTAAAGCGTTTTCGCCCTGACCTTTCGCTATTCGTAATTTAAATAACCCCAGGTCTGGTCCCAAGCCATCTGCCACCTCGCTTTATGGCTTTCGGTGTGCACGGACTTCAATTAGGAAATCTCAGCGAAAAATCTCAAAGATGTACTCGTTCCTT